CGTTAAATCAAAAAATTTGTTTTCTTTTTTTTTACAATTTCCCTCATGGATAGATTGGTTGGCTTTATAAAAGTATTGAAGTAAGTATTGTAGTAAAGTGGAAAAAGAAAAGTTTGTTGTTTTTTTTTTACTTTTTCTTGACTCTTGTCTTGATTTGGGTAGACATTTGGTATTGGGTTGCTGGCTATCAAGTATGAGTTGTACACCAGATGTTTGAGTAATTTAATGTAGTCAACATCTTTAAGATAACGGAAATAAGGTATTTTTAGTTGTTGTTATTTTGATTTATTTATTTTTTTTTTCTTCATTTTTTTAAATCTATATACTTTTGTTTTGTTGAGAAAATATAGACAACGTAGACTTTTGTTTACATACAACATGTCTATGTAAAAATACAAATATTTTCTTGTCAACTTAATAAATATAAAGAAATCTGTATTTTAAGTTTGACTATATAGTTATTTTCTTGTTTTTTCTTTTTTTTGAAGAATTTATATAAACATAGAAAAATAAAATATGTAAATTTTTGTTAAAACTTTTTTCTTACAGCTTGTTTTTCTAAAATGAAAATTTGTCTTCGTTCTTAAAAATAACGAACGAAATTGGCTTTACGTTTTTGTAACGAAAAAATAAATTTTCATGTGAGTGACGACGAAAGAGCTTTATTTTTCCATATATTTTTGGTTTTTAGAAAATGAATTCGTTCGTAATAAACGAAAGAAATGTCAGAAATAGACGATAGGCAAAGGCCTTTCGTTTGCCCAAAAAACAACGAAAATTTTACCAAAATACGTAATAATATGTGGCCATTTGAACCAGAATGTAATTCGCAATACAAACCTTTAAATTTCTTGAGACATTGCATACAATTGTCATGTTGTTTTTAAAAAAACATTTTTTCATAATTTCAATTTTTTTCTAAAATTATTTTATTTTTGTTTATTTTTTAGGATTAACACCAAACACCTTATTACTACATGAAAAAATATTTAAAAATTCAGAAATGAAATACGTAGGCAATAATGTTCTGTTACGATAGAAAAAGCTCATTTCATTTTAGACATTTTTAAACGAAAACTTTCAAATGTTTTATAAAAACCAAATTTTAAACTTGATCGTAATAAAATGAAATGTTCGTGTGAGAACTAAATTGTTTTAGAAAAACAGGCTGTTAAACTCAAACCGTTAAAACTTAAGCTTTTGTTTAATAATGACTTCTTTTGAAAGTTTAATAGTTTATAATAAAAGTGTTGAGTTGTTTTTGTTAAAAGTAATAATTTTATATTCTTTCAAAGTTCTAAGGTTTGTTTGAGGTTTTCCCATAGTATTTAATAGATACAAATATACATGTATGTATCTATGTATGTTATACTTATTGACACATTGTCAACTTGTGTACTTAAACTGCTTAAGTAAACATACTGGTTAAAAAGTAAATATTCGTTATAGGTAAAAATCCTACCTCTTTCTTTAATACTTTTAAAGAAAATAGTGTTTAATTTTGAAATCCATAACTAATCAATTTTAAAGGGGCGTTTTAGTTTTAAAGTACCTAATATAAATTGCACAGTGGTAACAAATGTCATTCTATGTTTACTCTTTTAGAAACTTGAGAAATTTAGAGTTCGTCATCCAGTTCTGCATTGAGGTTCAAGCCTAAAAATTGTCTTACTGACTTATTCCAGTCCATAAATCCATTAGAGTAAGTAAATGAATGGAACATCATGAACCCCGTTATCATGGGGACCCTAACTATATGATGGACATATATTACGGATGTGAGGGAGCGATAGGCATAAAGTCTGTTGTTCCATCCCCACCTCAGTTATACAAGACTTAAAGATACGACAGGTTTTTCAAGTACAGCCGTACATGAATTCCGTTTTTGTAGGTTACCCATCGTCTATAGCATGCGTCGGCTTTAGTTTCTTAATTTCAGTATTTGCAATAAAAATTCCCGGTAGATCGAGCTACAACGAAAATGCCATTTAAATAAACACTCATAAACCAAAAACAGGCGCTAATGTTAGTTGTGGATCTATTGAATCTAAACCTGACTACTGTGGCATAATTTAGGCTTAAGTTTTTGCTATTTAGAAAGTCGCGGAACAAATAGAGAAATTCAGATATTTACGCCGATAAAATCACTGAAGAAAGAATGCTAGATGTCTATAGAGAAGATAGCGAGACATTATTTGGTTACCCGTATATAGGTTCTAAGATGTGGGAGAAATAACATTATATTTGAAGTACCTTATAAAAAAGGAAGACTGGACAAAATGTAAATGTAAATCAACATAACCCACAACGATTACTATTAACACCCTCAAAGGATGATGTTTATTACATCAACTCCGGAATATTAAACCTAAATCGCCATCCTGCAGTTTGTGGGTACCTTTTCATGAAAACAATATTGATGCAAGAATTCGTTCTTATCAGTTCGTCCAATTTTGTATAGTTGAGACCGCACACCTCGAGGGAAGCTTCATCTCGTCTTGATATCTTATGGATCACCCCATAGGACTTTTGTGGCCCTACCCACCATTCTATTATTCCAAGTAGCCGCATGGCATTCTTTCGCCTAGTTCTTTAATGCATCAAAACGGTTTTGTTTTCCCAGATTATCTTCATCAAGCTCCCTTTCATTTATAGCTAGTACATTCGCTCTTTTATTGCCGTTTATCCCGATTTGGACCGACAAGCTAAATCTTTACACAAAATTTAAGATACAAAATATACATTTTGTTTACTTCAAAATAATGGGTGATAAAATTTAAATATTCTATTCGGCATATTCCTCTCAAATAAGATTTTTGACCCCCTAAAAAAAAGAAAGATATCAAAACTAAGTTTGATAAGCTATATAAATAATGTCATATTCTTTTATACGAGTTAGCAACAACTTTTATTTAAAGTTTTTTTTAAATAAATTTATTAAATATATATATTTATTTTATAGCACTACTATTTAAAGAAAGCGTGGCTTATATTTTTAGCATAAATTTGCATATAATATTTTTAAAGTAAAAAAAAAATTGCTTAATATTTATGGAAATATCCCATAAATTAAAGAATATTTCAATGTTAAGGAAAGAAGTTTAAAATTTGGCAAAACTGGTTGTGTATTGGAATAAGTTTCATATTAAAAATGTATATAAAAAGCGCTAATTTTAAATATTTTATAAGTGATTTCAACGCAATTGCAGAATTTGAAAATTTTCTTTAAAATTTCACCTCACCCAGACCACTGTGCCTGCCATCTCTATTGAAAGTGAAGAAAAAGAGCATAAAAAAGCAATTACTCTTTTACAACGATATTCTAGTCATTTGAAAATGTGCCTGCAGTTAAGTTGTTTTTGTCATTTTAGTCTAAACTCTTGTTTTTTTATAGCTCATGTCAGTTTTTACGACGTTTGCCTGACTATTAGAGCAAAAAGTTCAAAATTACAAAAACACACAAAACAGAAAACAAATTTTGTTAGAGGCGCCGTTCACACCTATTGTTTGTCTTTGACGACAATTACATTATATTTTTACAATTGTCTAGCAGTAGAGATCAAGATAATAATTGATGAACCGATTTAGTTTAAAGGGTTTTCAAAACTATTTTTATTTCAATTTTGTTTTTCTTGTTAAAATGTTTCCGGTCTGACCTTTTTATTATCGTACAAATTTGTGGGTATTTTTTTTCTATTTTTTGTAAAATGAAGTGTTGACTTGAAAACATCATCTTTTGTCAACAGAAATAGTTTCATTTAATAATCTCATTTGTAAATTATGACCCTCATAAATTTGTTGAATGTAAAGCTTTGGACATAATTTGAATAGCTAGTGTAAGTTGTTGGTTACAACAATTTCAAATAGAACATTTTTGCAAAATAAAACAAATAACTAGTAAAGATACTTTCAATGTCATCATAAATAAGAAAATAAATCCTCGTGGATTTTGTAAAATTATACGCGAAATTTGTCTTAAGGCATAAAATATTTGTCGTTGTAATGACTGTCTGAACTTAGACTTTTATTTGTAAAAAAATTTATATTTTTTTTGTTTTATTGTATGTGTGTTTGTGCATAAGGTTAAGTCTTCTTTTTGGTTTCCAGTAAAATTGCAAAAAAAAATCAATGAGCGGAAATTTTTATTAAGGAAAAACTTTAACGTTAAATTTACAAGGAAGGAAATCAAGTTGATGTTATGGGAATGAAAAAAAGTCATTATCATTATTAAATAAAAAGCTGTTTGAAAAATCAAAAATAAAAAAATTATTAAGAATGTCTTCTTTAGTAAAATGATTTTTGATTTTTATAAAACAGTGGTAAATCTGGGACCGAATTACCTAATGCGATCGAGTAAATGGATCGTTATTGGGTTTTAATTTGGATTTTTAGTGAAAATTTGTATTTTTGGGGAAAATTTAGATTTCTTGTGAAAAATAAGTAAGATTTAAGTGAAATGTTAATTTTTTTTTGAAAATTTAGATTTAGATTTGCAAAAGAACTTGCGAATTCTGTCTGATATTAAACCTAAAGGAAAAATCGTAACATCTTTTGCAAAAAAGGACTTTGAAAAAACTTTATCATTTAAACTTTAAAACTGACCCAAGAATGTAATAGTTGGCAAATTTCAAAAAAGAGATAAATACAATTAGGGTCTCGTTCGAATAAAATCGAATAGTTAATCTCTATAAAGTTTTTGATTATTCTTCATTCAATTCTTTCAATCATATTCGTACTTTTATAGGTTTGCATTGTACCAAAGCAATATCTAAAATAAAATAAGATAAGAGCCAGATGCGAGGTGCACTTATTTTGCAAAATTGAACAGGTAAATTACTACATACAACTTATGCTAAAGAAATTGAACAAATTTCCACATTAACCAACTAAAACCAAACTATTTACTGGGTTATTCTACGCATTTGTATCGGTGTATGTTTTTCTTAAGAGCAAATAAATATCAAAGAATTTGTTAAATAACAATAACAAAATGAACTTACCGTTTGTTTAAGATATTGATCTTAAGATCTTATATTTAAGGAAGCAGCAGCAATTCCATAAGATTCGATTCCATTAAGCACTTTTGATTTCTTCTTATTTATTGAACGCGTATAATAAAAGTTTCTTTTTGTAATTAACACTCGTTTGTCAAATTTACACACGATATAGGTACAATATATATACAATTTTTTCTCTTTATTTATTAAATTCACGTAACAATTTGTTACTAATAGTTGATTTTCATATAAAACATTTGTGTTGTGCACAATTCTCTTACACACTTTCGAATTTTTTTTACTATTTTTTTTTCTATAAACAACAATTTCACCAAAAATAGCTAAACAACCATCATCATCGAAAACTAATGAAATTTTTTTTTGTTAGCGTGAAGTCAGTTTGGTTGCCAATTGAATTATTATATAATTTTTAATTGTTGTTTTAGTTTATAATATGTTTTTAGCATTAATTGATTTATTTTGCACTAAACTTTATTCAAAGGATGTAGTTTAAAGAAAAGCTTTTTATATCATTTTCATTTAATTTTCTTTTAACTTTTTTGTTTGGTGTTTGTGCAGCAGGCTTTTTTCCAATATTATTCATTTGCCAATTTAAGGTGTTTCTTTTATATTTTTATGCACTTTGTTTGAGTTAATTTATTGCAGTTGTTTTACTATAGCTTTATTTTAATAAAGATCTATATTTAAATATAAAATTTATCCTTTTTTCACTGGTAGATTTAATTTTTTCTACAAATTTCTTATTTTTCTTAACTTTTTGATTGGTTTTTCTCCGAATATCACATCCAACTTTCACAGCTGTTCCGTTCGAACTGTCAGTGAATGTATGAAAATTTGTCTTCGACTATTTGACATTAGATTCTGGTGTTGTTAAATGGAAGAGTACTGGTTACTCGCAGAGTCAATAAAATTCACTAGTGTTGTTTAACTTGAAAATAGTTTGTATCACTTTAATTCACTTAAGTGAATAAAAATTTATTTCACGTTTAAAAAAATAAACTAAATTATTTGAAGAAATACATATCTTTAATGTTTTGTTGTTTGTAACAAATTACTTATTTGAGTTGCTGTAAAATGAAGTTGTGCTTTGCCAAAATAGTATAGTCTATATTCTAGTATATAGTCTAGTTTCTAGTCCAGTGTATAGTCTAGTCTATTGTCTAGTCAGTAGTCTAGTCTAGTCTATAGTCTAGTCTATAGTCTAGTCTATAGTCTAGTCTATAGTATAGTCTAGTCTATAGTCTAGTCTATAGTCTAGTCTATAGTCTAGTCTATAGTCTAGTCTATAGTCTAGTCTATAGTCTAGTCTATAGTCTAGTCTATAGTCTAGTCTATAGTCTAGTCTATAGTCTAGTCTATAGTCTAGTCTATAGTCTAGTCTATAGTCTAGTCTATAGTCTAGTCTATAGTCTAGTCTATAGTCTAGTCTATAGTCTAGTCTATAGTCTAGTCTATAGTCTAGTCTATAGTCTAGTCTATAGTCTAGTCTATAGTCTAGTCTATAGTCTAGTCTATAGTCTAGTCTATAGTCTAGTCTATAGTCTAGTCTATAGTCTAGTCTATAGTCTAGTCTATAGTCTAGTCTATAGTCTAGTCTATAGTCTAGTCTATAGTCTATAGTCTAGTCTATAGTCTAGTCTATAGTCTAGTCTATAGTCTAGTCTATAGTCTAGTCTATAGTCTAGTCTATAGTCTAGTCTATAGTCTAGTCTATAGTCTAGTCTATAGTCTAGTCTATAGTCTAGTCTATAGTCTAGTCTATAGTCTAGTCTATAGTCTAGTCTATAGTCTAGTCTATAGTCTAGTCTATAGTCTAGTCTATAGTCTAGTCTAGTCTAGTCTATAGTCTAGTCTAGTCTTCTTTTGCACTCCATATATCTTTTAAACCAGAAAACATTTTTGAATCCTTTATAACTTGACGAACAAATAAAAATATGAATTTAGTACTTTTTGGATATTCGGACGTTTAAGGGGTGAAAATTGTACCTATTTTTGGTACTTTTTTATAAAACATTGTTTTTGGTTTATTAACTTATACATATGAATACATAATAACGGGCTCCCAATACGATGTTGTAACTTTTTGGAACAGAATTTTTATTTCGTCAATGGGGAGGAAAAAGTACCAAAATGGGTAAAAACGGGAAATTTGATTTTATTCAAGAAACACTAAATATGCTAATGTGATGTTATTTGGAACACTGGTACCAAATGATATTTTTTGGTACTTTTTCATTCTCCAACTGGTACTTTTTGAGTTTTCTATGATACTGAAATCGAAACATGAAATTAATAATTAAGGGACTTTTCGGAACTTTTTCGTTCTACAAAGGTACTTTTTGAGTTTTCTTTAAAATTTAACCTAGAAACATGAAATTAAGCAAGTAGAGTATGGGACTTATTGGTACTTTATCGTACTTCGACTGAAACTTTTTTGACTTAGAACTTAGAAACATGTAATTAAGAACTTGAGAATCTATAAATCTTTTTGGTACTTTTTCGTTCTTCAAAAGGAAGTTTTTGAATTTTCTATAATATGAAAGAAATAGAAACATAAAAGCATGTAGAGCCCCGATTAAGTGAGAACCTGTAAAAGGGGACTTTTTGGTTCTTCAAAAGGTACATCTTAAGTTTTTGTATAATAATGAACCTAGAAACGTGAAATTAAGCATGTAGAGCCCGGATTAAGTGAGGTCCTATAAGAGGGGACTTTTTGGAACTTTTTCGTTCTTCAAAGGTACTTTTTGATTTGTTTATAATATTGAACCTAGAAACATGAAATTGGGAATGTACAGCCCGGATTAAGTGATAACATATAAAAGGGGACTTTTTGGTCAGATCCTCGTAAAACTTGGAGAAAGGATTTGTTTTCAATTTTTAAGAATTTTTTATTCATCTCACACAACTGATCTTGCTCTGTTTTGTTGTTATAAACAACATATTTGCTTCCAAAATCCCACTTTCTGATCTCTCGGATTCCGTTTTTATTTAAAATCGTTGAAAGTTTAAAAACTAAACGTAGTTGACAACTTAGCCGGCTTACAGTCGATTTTAAGCCGCCGCCGACATATTTAGTGTCAGTCGCCGCCGCCGTTAATATTTGTCGGCGCAGGGCTCTGGTTGTGAGTTGCAAAAAATTTACAGTGCACGTACCAAGAGAAAATAATAAAGTATTGTTTAGAAATTTATTTTATTTAAAATACAATAAATTAAATAAAAGTATCACAAAATAAAATGGCACAACCCACAGTTAATGTAGCTGGCTACTTGGCAAATCAAAAGAAAACCACAAATAAAGAATTGGCCTCTGAATGGGCTGCCTTGGAAGATCTATACAATGAAAAGTAAGTTTGATAGAATCAAGAAAAAACTAAAGCGTCATCTTTAACTTCTTAACAAATTTTATAGATTATGGAATGAATTGACCATAAAATTGAATAAATTTGTACGTAATGCTGCCATGCAGGATGAGGATGCCTTACTGCAGCTGTATCAGAATTTTTTGCAAACATTTGAAATGAAGTAAGTAACAAAGAGGAGTTTGGAACTCCATATTAGTAAGGTTATGTGTTTATTCATGCTCCTATTTCTTTTGTTTGCATTGCAGAATCAATCCCTATGGTTTAGTTGAGATTGTGGAAGTTATTGTCGAGCATATTACTGATAAAAAGGAAGCTGTTGAATTTTTGGGTAAAATTAAAGATAAAGTCAAGATTTGTGATGAAGCTGTTTGGTATGTTCAGGTGTGTGTGCAGGATTAACTCCAGTGTCATTTCTATTTTAAGTCAGGAATATTTTTTTATTCGCAATTACTGTGCGAATTGGAATGCTCTGGAAAATAGCATAACCTAATGGTACACAGTATCAACAATTTCATGTCACTTACACAATTCGGTGCCGCCTTGCCGTCGGACACCTTTCCTATACATTCTTTGCTTTAATAGTCGTTTTTCCATAGAACAGAAGGTAAACATTTTTTATATAAATTTCTTACAGGTTCTCCAAGGTAATATCTACCTGACAGATCTGAATGATTTGGATGCTTGCAAGAAAATCATTGAAGAATTACGTGACATCTTGGAAGATGTAGGCAATGTAACACCAGTCCATGGCAAATACTACATGTTAGCTTCACAATACTATCGTCGTGTGGGTAAACACAGTGATTATTATCGTTGTGGTTTACAATTTTTAGGTTGTTCTATCGATGACTATCCTAAAGATCAATGGGCACAACAGGCATTCTTTTTGGGATTGGCCGCATTATTAGGAGATGGCATTTATAATATAGGAGAATTGGTAAATAATTAATTAATTGTATATAAGATATATTATAACAATGAGAATTTTAATTTTTATGTAGCTGGCCCACCCAATTTTGACCTCTTTGAAGGGAACAGAAAACGAATGGTTGATGGAATTGCTTAAAGCTTTCAACGTCGGTGATATTAAAAAGTATTAAATTATCTTCAATACTATAATAGGAAATATACTTTAACTAATATATATTTACAGATTCAATGAAATGAAACCGGTTTGGTCAAAAATTCCCGACTTGCTTGCACAAGAAATTAAACTGCGTCAGAAAATCTCTCTTTTATGTCTGATGGAAATGACTTTCAAACGTTCCGCTACACAACGTTCCATTTCCTTTGAGGATATTGCCAACGAAACACAATTGCCTCTTAAAGAGGTGGAATTGTTAATTATGAAAGCTTTAGCCTTGGATTTGGTTAAAGGAGAAATTGATCAAGTGGCGGGTGTTGTTAATATGTCTTGGGTAAGTTATAAAATAATTTAATAAATAGCTTACCTAACTCTTTAATTGTTATAAGGTTTTGCCACGTGTTCTCGATCGTCCACAAATTGCTAGCATGGCCACAACATTGGATAACTGGATGTCTAGTATTAGTTCTATGGAAAAATTAATGGAATCACGTGCCGCTGAAATTTTAACCAACTAGTATAGTTGCTATCTATGCAAAAACATTTAATTTAAAACTCAAATAATAAACACACATTTTGTAAATTATTTTTGAAATCTTTTTGTAATGAGTTACAGCGTGGCCAAGTACCTACATGGCAACTAAACTGTAGTTTACACTAGATGAAAGGTATTCTTGACTATAGGCTAGACTATACACTATAGACTAATCAGAAGTATAAACTATACACTAATCTGCAGTCTGAACTATAGACTTGGTCATAAGAGTAGACTAATAGACTTGATCGTAGTTGGAACTACAGACTAGACTTATCAGATTATACTATAGTCAGGTTTACAGATTGCAGACTACACTATTCTCCCGGGTATTGACTATAATATACTCTCGTATGTACCAAATATTGAACTATAGTATGATTTATATACTAGATTATAATCTGGACTACAGGCTGGATTATAGTCTGGGCCAGTTTATAGTCTTTACTACAGACTAGATAATAATCTGGACTAAAGGAGAGTCTGGACAACAGACTACATTATAATCTGGACTACAAACAAGATTATAGTATACTATAGACTGCGAACTGGATAATAGTCTAGACTACAGTTTATAGTCTGGACTACAGATTACATTATAATCTGGACTACTGATTAATTTACAGTCTGGACTAGAATATATTATACTCTGGACTACATATTAGATTATAGACTGGACTACATTCTAGATTATAATCTGGACTACAGACTAGATTATAGTATGGACTACAACTATACTATAGTTTGGACTAAACTAGATTATAGTCTAGACTATAGACTAGATTATAGTCTGGACTGTAGACTATATTATAGTCTGGACTAGAGACTAGATTATAGTCTGGACTAGAGACTAGATTATAGTTTGGACGAGACTAGTTTATTGTATGTACTACAGACTAGATTTTAATCTGGACTATAGAAGATATTATAGTCAGAATGGCGGTCGTATAATCTCGACGTGGCTAAAGTATAGAATAGATAGTACATCCTGGACATAAACCACCACACCTCTTTTCAAAAATCTGTACGTTATTCGATTTTTAATTTAGATGAAAAATATAAACTTTTCTTCAACATTACTTACTATTGATGACTGTTTTACTATTTCGGAAATAAAGGAATGCTTTTGTGGAACTTTAAGTATTCAGATGAAACTTAATACAAGGTAAAGACGAAGAAGAAATTATAAAATAAAAATAATAATTCTATATTCAAATATTTTTTATTTCAGCATTTAGTGTTTATTTCGCTAAATTTGTTAATAGTTTATATATTTTTTCATTATAAAAAGAATTTTTAATAAAAATATTTAATATTTCTATAAATTTGGTTTGTTACGTTTGTTTATCTTGTACATAATGTATGTATAGTTAATTTATATAAATATGTATGTAAGAAATCTCAATTATATGTAACTATACGATAGCCAAATTTTAAATTATTTAATATTAATATAAATATTAAATAATTTAAAATTTAGCTTGAGAGTAGGAACCAATATTTAAAAAAAAATCTAAATTTGGCATCAAGCCCTAATTAAAATGAAAAACTGTTTCAATTTATCTATTATAATTACATTACAAAATAGATGTTAAAAAATGATAATGACTGCAATGATCTGGATGTATAAGATATGTTACAAAATTATATAAAATGTTTATGGTTTAATGTTTTAGTTTCTTAAACTTAATAGTTTTTCGACCAGTTTCGTCGTTGCTAAACTATATTAATACTTCCTTGTCTAACACGGTATGGAAAGTATTGTTGTCTTAATCAAATATTCAAACAACGCAGCTTACGTTCCGGTATACGTGATGTAAACTCAAAACTAGGAGGTCGTCTTATTTCTTCATGTGAATCTCGTCTTATGCGCTCTGGATTTCTACCCATCACCGACCAAACGGGTATACTGCGTTTATGTAATTCTTTTAAGACTAATGTTTCCAATTGAAATAAATGCTCATCCCATACTTCAGGTATTTCTTCATGCATAAATTTTGCCAAACGTAGAAGATATTCAGCATTATGTCCACTGGGTCCTTGGCATTCGACAATTTGTTTGGCTACATTTTCCAAATTATCTTCGCCCAGCCAGTGTTCGCTATCTGTATTGGCTACATAAATTAAAACTTCTAAAGCTTCTCCGCCGAAGGGTGTGTCATAGGATGCAATGCGGGGATAAAATTTTGTATCTGCTGTAGTATAGCCACCTTAAATGATAAATTTGTAATAAATAAATTAATTGATTAAATAAATACTTATATACTACGTATAAAAATAATATTTCCAAATATTTCTCAAAATTTAAGAAGAATTAATGAATTGAATACATATGTATTTGTAATTTAAGATTGATATTTTCTTAATTATGTAACAAATGTTATTCTCAAATAATTTTGGAGCGTTTAGTAAAATTTGAATAAAAAAATATTCGAAAGATATTGCTTTTCAATCTTATATAAATTTTTATCAAAAACTATCGACATTTAATATAAAATAGTTTTTTTTTTTAATATTTAAAAAAATTTAATTAATAAATACATAACATTTTTAATATTAATCAAGGTTCAACATAGATTTTTGTGGATTCAGTAAAGATTTGAGATTTAATATCAACTTTCTACTTCCTTTCTTTGTTTCATCTGAATACTATTAAAAAAGAATCTAAATAAATGTTAAATCAGAAAATCCAAAATAAGTAGAGACTTTTGAAAAGTTCTGTGGAGGTTCAATGTTAATGCTCCCAATTAAAATATTGTTTTATTTTTGACCAAATCCTTTGAAGGACTTTTGTTTATACAAAAAGCAAAAGAACTCATTGCCGATACCAGATCTAAATTTCTAATAGCTTTGTTTTAAGTTTTTATAAATTTGTTCAACTATGAAAACTATGAATTTGGGGACTTTGAAATATAAATATTGTTTTAAATTTATAAGTTAAGTTTATATTTAAACGATCCAGCCATATTTCTTCTTAATTGAATCTTTCATCAAACATGATAAATATAAGTCAGTTCTTTTTTATTACAAACATTAAATAAGTTCAAATTTAACGGAAATTTAATGAGAATTTTTTGAGATGTAGGTATTTTGTCTTTATCTTCCCTTAAAATTAATTAAAACTTTTGTTGGTACTTACCTAATGTGCACTCTCGTTGTTTCAAATAATCTAAGGCAGTTTGTCCTGTTATTCTGTAAGCACAGCCCCAAGTGATACCCTAAAATGAATAAAAACCAACAAAATATTGCATAAATTGTGATGATAAAACAGTAACTTATTAAAGGATAAAACAGATAATGGAAATAATAAACAAAATAACAGATAATTTATCTGCAGCACTGTTTGTTTGTCATTTTAGAAGATATTTTGATAAGACAGTGTTTATAATAAAGCAGTACATTAATAAAGTACTGTTTTATCACATTATAAATATAATGGACAATGACATATAACTGCTTTATCATATTGTAGATAAGACAAGCAGTACACACTTTACTGCTTTATCGCTTCATAGATAAAACAGTATTTTAGTTATTTTTACCCACAATGCAGAGTTGCCAGAACTAATTTTATAAATAAAAAATAATATAAGTAAAAAGTGCTGAATTTAATTATATTATGTATAATTACTTACTACACACATTAATTAAGAATGTGTATTAGTAATAATAAATTCTTTTCAGTTATTATTTAACTAATAAGGCAGTCAAACAATGCTTATACCCAAAAAAGGAGATTTTTTTTTAGCTTGAGACGTAATTTTTCCCATGAATTTCAAGAACAAACATCTGGTAACACATAAAACACGATTTGTTTATTCTATTTTTAACACGATTCATATTATACTATACTTTGTTATTTAATTTGTGTAATAATTCCCATATTCTTTTTTCTTATATTGTATGTATATATGCAAAGTGTTGTGCGTAGTTTTTGGAGGCTAACGAGTTGTTTTCTTCGAGTCTTCCATGCCTGTCTCTCGGGGTTACATACGAGTTCCTGGTAACTCTTTGCCATATTATCAAATTCTAAATTTGATAATTGTCATCATACCCTGGGGAAAGTCCCCGGGCCTAGGATAGAAAGTATCAAGGCGTGAAAAGTATTTCGGATTTGTGTCCGAAATATTCGCCTATATTCCGTGGAAATTCTCATGCATCTATAGAGAGTTTCTTGCGAAACGAATTTATATGCATGTGTCTGCGGAAACGTGCCAGATATCTAAGTTATCGACAAGTTGTGAAAGAACTCTCTTAGAGTTCCTTTCCTACACACAATGGGGCTTACATTGGGAAATTCGGATCATAACAACTAAATAAAAATAGCCTCTATTTTTTTGGATGAAATTAATAACAATTATTTAGATCGCTAAGTTTAATTCTTAATATTGCGTGAGTTTTAGTTCTATCCAAGTCACTGAAAGAGAACTAGTTCTGGAACTGTTTGTTTTCTAGCTAATTTAATACTGGAACTATTGCAATGTGTATTTCCTAAAGTATGTTCAATAAAATTATGTTTTTTATTACTTACCTCTTTGTCCTCAACCAGAGTAGCTACACGTCCAGGCTATAAGAAAAGGAAAATAATAATTCATTATTATTAATAAAAAATATTAACATTGCTAAAATGATTGTATATAATGCAATTTTTATATAAAAGAAATAAACAAAGAAATAAATTTTTAATTTTACTTTCAGAAATAATTATATACAATTACATTTAAATATTTACATTTAAATTATTTCATTTTAAACGTCCGTCCTTCACCCATTATAATCAATAAAAACGAGTCTTTTCAAGCAACACTACTACTGGCAGTACAATACTACTCTACTTGTGCTAAATACAAAATGGTTCATGTTTACGTTTTTAATGGGAGACAACCCCACCTACATACACACAAGATCATCTTCTTCGTGAGATCATGAGAAAAATAAAAACAATTATTTTCAATAACATTCATTGTTTAAATTATTTTTACAAGTCATTGTATTTTAAAAAGTCTTCTTCTTGCTGACTACGTGTAATTATTTACACTTAAAAGCAGAACAATATTAAAAAAAGACTTAAATATCGTCTGATAATATTTATTGCATTTAATATATTAGTGTAATTTATTACAAATAAATACTTTGCAAAACCTTTTACACACTTAAGAACTTTTAAACGATTAAATACAAACTTCTTAGTAACAACAGAATAGTAAAGTACTGAATATATTTTTTAAATTAAACTTTTAACGATTTATGTTAAAATCAAGGGGAATTGAGTGCTATAACAGATTTAACATCCAAACTAACAAATTTCTTAAATTAAAAAATAATAATAATAATAATAAACTTAAATTTTAAAAAAATAAATAAAAAGTTATTTCTTCTAGGGTTTGAACTTAATGCCACCAGATTCATCATGTTTCTTTCTGTCTTTCAGATACAAATCTGTTGGTCTGGGTTCAAACCCCAGTACGATCATTTTTGTATTTTTGAGTTTGAAGAAAAAAATATCTAAAAAAGAATCAGCACGGTTTATATTGTTCGTGAAAAAAACATATTTTTTGTTTACGTTTTTAAACAAAAAATTTATCACGTGTTTTGTGTGTGTTTTTATAATTTTTATACTTTTTTATACGATTAAATATGTGTAAATTAAATGCATATTTATTGATAAATAAATCAACAAAAGTGAAAGAACTTACATTTATTCTGTTGAGAAAAACCTTAACTGTTAGCTTACAGTAGACCTATCACAATAATTACTAGATCAATAGACTATAGACAAGAGTGTAGACTAGATTGTGGACTAGACTATAGACTAACTATAGACTAAACTATAGACTATAGACTACACTATAGACTAGACTAGACTATAGACTAGACTATAGACTAGACTATAGACTAGACTACAGACTAGACTATAGACTAGACTAAAGACTAGACTAAAGACTAGACTATAGACTAGACTATAGACTAGACTATAGACTAGAATATAGACTAGACTATAGACTAGACTATAGACTAGACTATAGACTAGACTATAGACTAAACTATAGACTAAACTATAGACTAGACTATAGACTAGACTATAGACTTGACTATAGACTAAAACTATAGACTAGACTTAGACTAGACTATAGACTAGACTATAGACTAGACTATAGACTAGACTATAGACTAGACTAGACTAGACTATAGACTAGACTATAGAACTATAGACTAGACTATAGACTAGACTATAGACTAGACTATAGACTAGACTATAGACTAGACTATAGACTAGACTATAGACTAGACTATAGACTAGACTATAGACTAGACTATAGACTAGACTATAGACTAGACTATAGACTAGACTATAGACTAGACTATAGACTAGACTATAGACTAGACTATAGATTAGACTATAGACTAGACTATAGACTAGACTATAGACTAGACTATAGACTAGACTATAGACTAGACTATAGACTAGACTATAGACTAGACTATAGACTAGACTATAGACTAGACTATAGACTAGACTATAGACTAGACTATAGACTAGACTATAGACTAGACTATAGACTAGACTATAGACTAGACTATAGACTAGACTATAGACTAGACTATAGACTAGACTATAGACTAGACTAGACTAGACTATAGACTAGACTATAGACTAGACTATAGACTAGACTATAGACCAGACTATAGACTAGACTATAGTCTAGACTATAGACTAGACTATAGACTAGACTATAGACCAGACTATAGACAAGACTATAGTCTAGACTATAGACTAGACTATAGACTAGACTATAGACTAGACTATAGACTGACTATAGACTAGACTATAAACTAGCCTATAGACTAGACTATAGACTAGACTATAGACTAGACTATAGACTAGACTATAGACTAGACTATAGACTAGACTATAGACTAGACTATAGACTAGACTATAGACTAGACTATAGACTAGACTATAGACTAGACTATATACTAGACTATAGACTAGACTATAGACTAGACTATAGACTAGACTATAGACTAGACTATAGACTAGACTATAGACTAGACTATAGACTAGACTATAGACTAGATTATAGACTAGACTAGACTAGACTATAGACTAGACTATAGACTAGACTATAGACTAGACTAGACTAGACTATAGACTAGACTATAGACTATAGACTAGACTATAGACTATAGACTAGACTAGACCTATAGACTAGACTATAGACTAGACTATAGACTAGACTATAGACTAGACTATAGACTAGACTATAGACTAGACTATAGACTAGACTAGACTAGACTAGACTATAGACTAGACTATAGACTAGACTATAGACTAGACTATAGACTAGACTATAGACTAGACTATAGACTAGACTATAGACTAGACTATAGACTAGACTATAGACTAGACGATAGACTAACTATAGACTAGACTATAGACTAGACTATAGACTAGACTAGATAGACTTAGAAGCTATAGACTAGACTATAGACTAGACTATAGACTAGACTATAGACTAACTATAGACTAGACTATAGACTAGACTATAGACTAGAACTATAGACTAGACTATAGACTAGACTATAGACTAGACTATAGACTAGACTATAGACTAGACTATAGACAGACTATAGACTAGACTAGACTATAGACTAGACTATAGACTAGACTATAGACTAGACTATAGACTAGACTATAGACTAGACTATAGACTAGACTATAGACTAGACTATAGACTAGACTATAGACTAGACTATAGACTAGACTATAGACTAGACTATTGACTAGACTAGACTATTTAGCTCTATCCTAATGTTATCAGTAAAAGATAAAAGTGTGCAATAGTCAATTGACGAGAAAAGTGGATTTAATATCTACAATATGACTACTGATAAAATCGGCTTAATGGTGCTCACTAATAATTAGAATTCGTAATTGAATAAAAATTTTGTTTTTGCATTTTTAGACTACAAATGATATTCAAAATTGTAATGTAATATGCTGGTTATATTTTTATTTATATTTATTCATTAGCAATCATTGCATATTAACAAGTCGCTGATATTAATTTGCAATATTAAATAATGTTATTTTTGTTTGTAATTAATTGATAAAAAAAAACTTGTACTTTTTGTTGTGTTTTTATTATTTATATTAGTGTTATTTGTTTAACAAATTTTATTAAAAGGTTTCGCAAATTGTAATTAAATTCTAATCAGTTGCAAATAAATTAAAGTAAATTAATTAAAAGGGGTGACAAAGGAAGAGAACAAATAATAGAATAAATAAAATGGCAAAATGTAAATAAATAAATAATTTAGAAAATGTCGGAAAAGCAATAATAAATTAAACTAAATTTGTAGAACTAATTACAAATGTTTACACAAAGTAAATTTATTGTGTAAATTTAACTTAAGTAATAAATAAAGATCTTTGTTCAAGTACTTTTTATATAAATTCCTAGACATACATATGTATAGATTTTCACTCAAACTCACCTTGTCAACTGTGCCGCGATGTGTTGTATTGCCCTGCCAAAATCGGCGATTATAACCTCTTATATAACCGGTAATGCATTTATTATACTCAAAACCCGGATACCAGCACAATGAACCATAACCGAATACCCAGCAGTGGGTGTCACAGCGATCTCCATTATTTCCATTCGCTGCTCCTGCGGCGGTATTGTCATCATCGGCAAAGTTGCCATTTAGAAAGAGGTTTTCAAAATGTTCGGGTAAATTATGGACGGAAGGTGATTTAGAATGGGTTGTGGGGGGTATGCGTAAATAAAAATTGTCAGCCATTTTTTAGTTTGTTTTTAAATTTGTTGTAAGGGAATTTGGTTTTGAATTGTTGCAATTTCTTTCTTGTTTAAATAAATGTTAGCTAAATTTAGGTGATATTTTGCTAATGAATAATAATAATGAGATCCTTTTAAATTCGTTTAGCACTCTGGGGGCTTTTAGTTGTCTTTTTGTAAAGCTCTGCTGTTGAAGGGCCCGTTTTGGTGGAATATTTCTCTTTTGTTTAGCACTTTTTAAGGTGATTTTTTGTTTTTGCAAATTAAATTTAGACATCGATAAATTTCAATATTCAGAATTTTCCAAAGACTTTTTTGTGGTTTTGCCAAAGGATTGTTTTTTTTTTATTTATTTTGTAATTTATTATAAATTTAACATTTTAATAATTTTGCTTTTGTTTTATATGCGATTTATTGCATGGTTTCTATGTTATTTTTTTGCTTTTAATTTTTGTACTTAAAACGTTTTATTTAGTATTCTTTGTTTTAAAACATCTGAAAATAAATTGTTTGTAAAAAAATTTATTAAAATTATTTTCATTTCTTTTTTTTTTATTTAAATTTTTATTTATTTGTCACTTTTTTTTCTTTACACAACCGTAACCGTACTTGTGACAGCACTTCCGTTCCCGGCATAAGATCGCTGGGAACTGATTTTTTAGTAAATAATTTTGCTTAAAAGTAAAGAATGAACAAAAACAAGAAAAAACAATAATAAAAGACATTTGTTGCTTTTATTTTTTTTTTTGTTTGTTTTTATTTTCGCTTAATTTTTTCTAATCTATGACGTTTTATAGAATAATATTCGCTAAAGCTAAATAAAATTGATGGGTACACACTTCTGAAGCCCCTACCTTAAGTAGCAGTATATTTAGTTTGTCTCTAAAGTGGGAAATTTTAAGAAGAATTAATCAAGATCACTTTAAAAAGAATGTTTTTAACATAAAAGTTCACACAAATTGATAATATTGGTTTATACTTTTTGAACTTTGACCTTATATTATTAAAATCGAATTTTTCCCTAAAATCTATATTAGACTTCAAAAAAATTAATAATTTCGTTGAGAAATTGTAATAGTTTTGTCTTCCAATATATCCAAAATATTTTCTAATTTTTATAACTAATTCCAACTAGTAGATCCAACCCCTAACCGCCGACTATAGTTAAATTAACGAGTATTTATTAGATTGTTCTTCTTTGATCCGAAAAATACTCGTAATACGTACGACTAGTACTAATACATGCAAGTAATAAATGTTTTCCCCTCCCTTTCGTCTGATCACCGTTTTGTCTGTCGTTGAATTGAATTTTGAATGAAAAGTTAAGAAAATTGTGTTTTTGCAACAATTTTTTTTTTCTATTATAAATAATTTTATACTATCGTTTGCTCGACCAGACATCATCTAATTTATATTTCACATTATATTGTTAAAATTTATTAGTTTATATTATTTTGTTATTTTGCAAATTTTGAATTTTTCTAATCTGATCATGTACACATGTACAGAGAGATAGTGGGTGGAATAAGTGTGTAGTCATTGGAATATTAAAATCTTAAAAACGATAGTTTTGAAATCACATTTGATCATTCTGCTACTAAATGGACCGTTTCGAAAGACAATATGGGCCATCCACGTCATTTGTTGGTCCAAATCTCAAATGGCGTTTTATTAGCGTTACTTTCGAAAAACTTATTATGACTTTAAAGACTACAATAGAATAATAACGGTATTATTTATGGAATACAGTGGCCTTAGATACCATCCGATAAGTAAAGAAAATCAAAAAATTCAAAACGATCGCTTTGAAATCCTACTTGATCATTCTAGTAACGAACGGACCGATTGAGTCGATAATAAGGTGTTTTCCACGCGTATTTATAGAACAGAAATTGGAATATCGCAGAACCATATAGGCAGCAAATTACGTGCCGATTGTCCCTTTAAATCCTATCAGATCAAAATGTTTTACTGCTGCAGATAGAGGTTGATAATTTGGAAACCATGCGGTCTTATGAATCGTATTAAACCTGAGCAAAATTCTTTATAAGCAATGATTCGAATGCATCAATTGCAATTAACTCTAGTGTTAGTGGATTCGTGTTTAGTCTTAGTGGATTCCGAAAATCACAACTTAAAATAGATTGAAGAAAATTATGGACAATGTTTGTGTTCGATACAAATATTGCAGAAATTCATTTTTTTATTCTAATCCCTACATATAATTCTGTTGAAATCAAGTTTCCGAATGCATCAAAATGTAGAATCAATCTGAAAAATTTTGTAGAATTTTTCTATTAAAAATCTACCAAATCGAGCCATTAATGGTGAAAAATATTCAAAGCTAAATACATAAAAGGAAAGCCAAATTTTCAACATGTTTAACGCTGTATAATATTATCCAAATTGTTATCAAAACTAAGAATTATGGGCTCAACATATGTATGTATGTATATAATATGATTATTATATTATTTGTTTTCTTTGAAAACATACTTTTCCTATATACTGTAGACAATAGTTATATACTTGACTGGTATAAACAAATACCGACATAAGTGAATAATAAACATATTATAACAGATTTTCTTTTCAAGAAACTAAGTGAAAAACATATGAATCTACTTTATAAGTCATATCAAAATAATTGACACCATTTAATAAAATGATATTTATCTTAAAGAATCTTAAATAGAGGAAAATTTAAAGATTAGTTGAGGACTTCTGGTTAAAAATTAAAGAAATTCTAAGTCATATTTGAAACTTAATTAAACTAATATATACTATATAATAAACAATTACATTCTTTTTTTCATTCTTTTCGATAAGTAACAAAACCATTATCAGGTCTATATTCATCTTAAAAAAGCTACACTTCCCAACAAAAGTAAAAGCTTTACCATTTCTATGACCATTTAATTAATTAGACTATTTATTTCATAAATGATAGACAAAACATTTCTATAACAAGTTTTGTATTATTTATTCTATTAATGTGATAAAATTTAGATTTTATAACACATCTGCTTTCGCTTAATATATTAGAAGGAATATAAAAAATATATTATAACATATTTATATAATATTCACGGTTTGTTTTTATTTGCATATTCTAAATAGAAAACAAATACGACTCTTGTTATTAGCATAAATAAACTCCATAATAATTTAATTACAAAATAAAGGCAAATATAGTGCGTAATAAAATTTAACTATCTGCAAAAAAAAAAAACCCTTAAATGTAATGGAAAATGAAAAAATTGAACAAACTATATATTTATTTATAGAAGTAGTTAGTTTAATAAAATAGTGTTTATAATTTTTTGAAAACGATCATGATCGCAAATGAAAAATACAAAATATTTTCGTTAGTGTTGCCAATTTTTTTCAACTACTTTCCTTTAAATTATGTTACAAAAACCGCTAGTAACCCTCAGATAAAAATACCATACCAAAAATATAGGCCATAGACTAGACTGTAGACTAGATTATATACTAGACTATAGACTAGACTATACACTAGCCTATAGACTAGATTGTAGACTACACTATAGACTAGACTATAGACTTGACTATAGACTAGACTAGACTGTAGACTAGACTATAGACTTGACTATAGACTAAACTATAGACTAGACTATAAACTGGACTATAGACTAGACTATAGACTAGACTGTAGACTGGACTATAAACTAGACAATAGACTAGAATATAGACTAGACTATACACTAGACTATACACTAGTCTATAGACTAGACTGTAGACTAGACTATAGACTAGACTATAAACTAAACTATAGACTAGACTATAGACGAGACTATAGACTAGACTATAGACTTGACTATAGACTAGACTATAGACTAGACTATAGACTAGACTATAGACTAGACTATAGACTAGACTATAGACTAGACTATAGACTAGACTATAGACTAGACTATAGACTAGACTAGACTAGACTAGAACTAGGCCTATAGACTAGACTATAGACAGACTATAGACTAGACTATAGACTAGACTATAGACTAGACTATGACTAGACTATAGACTAGACTATAGACTAGACTATAGACTAGACTATAGACTAGACTATAGACTAGACTATAGACTAGACTATAGACTAGACTATAGACTAGACTATAGACTAGACTATAGACTAGACTATAGACTAGACTATAGGACTAGACTATAGACTAGACTATAGACTAGACTATAGACTAGACTATAGACTAGACTATAGACTAGACTTAGACTAGACCTATAGACTAGACTATAGACTAGACTATAGACTAACTATAGGACTAGACTATAGACTAGACTATAGACTAGACTATAGACTAGACTATAGACTAGACTATAGACTAGACTATAGACTAGACCTATAGACTAGACTATAGACTAGACTATAGACTAGACTATAGACTAGACTATAGACTAGACTATAGACTAGACTATAGACTATAGACTAGACTATAGACTAGACTATAGACTAGGACTATAGACTAGACTATAGACTAGACTATAGACTAGACTATAGACTAGACTAGACTGACTAGACTAGACTATAGACTAGACTATAGACTAGACTATAGACTAGACTATAGACTAGACTATAGACTAGACTATAGACCTAGACTATAGACTAGACTATAGACTAGACTATAGACTAGACTATAGACTAGACTATAGACTAGACTATAGACTGACTATAGACTAGACTATAGACTAGACTATAGACTAGACTATAGACTAGACTATAGACTAGACTATAGACTAGACTATAGACTAGACTATAGACTAGACTATAGACTAGACTATAGACTAGACTATAGACCTAGACTATAGACTAGACTATAGACTAGACTATAGACTAGACTAGAGACTAGACTAGACTAGACTATAGACTAGACTATAGACTAGACTATAGACTAGACTATAGACTAGACTATAGACTAGACTATAGACTAGACTATAGACTAGACTATAGACTAGACTATAGACTAGACTATAGACTAGACTATAGACCTAAGCTATAGACTAGAACTATAGACTAAGACTATAGACTAGACTAATAGACTAGACGATAGACCTAGACTAATAGACTAGACTATAGACTAGACTATAGACTAGACCTATAGACCTAGACTATAGACTAGACTATTAGACTAGACTATAGACTAAGACTATGAGACTAGACTATAACTAGACTATAGACTGAACTAATGACCTATAGACTAGACTATAGACTAGACTATAGACTAGACGATAACGAACTAGAACTCATTAGACTAGACTATAGACTAGAATATAGACCTAGACTATAACTAAGACTATAGGACTAGAGCTAGTAGAGCTAGGACTGATAGACTAGACTATAGACTAGAACTATAGACTAGACTATAGACTAAGCTATAGACGAGAACTATAGACTAGACTATAGACCTAGACTATAGACTAGACTAGAGACTAGACTATAGACTAGACTATATGACGAG